GTCTGTTTATCAACTCCTGAAGAAGAAACAAGTGGAGAAGACATCAGTTATAAAGCTCCAGAGAAGAGAAGGGGAATGTTTGGTCAACAAGGACAATACCTGTCGAAGCTCATCAGCCATGAAGAAGGACGGGGCATTGGCTTTCGGCTGCATATAAGCCACATGTGGCGCCGTGGGGGGATAGATATGGTAGGTAGGAAACACCTGCAACAACCAGAAAAAAGAAAATACAGCTTCCTATTTATTGAGAAATGGAAACCAGTCTGATCATACAAATATTGTTTTCAGGCAGCTATGCAAATGAATGCGAGAGAATGAAACTCTTGTGATGTCATAAAAAACAAAAAACAAACCAAATTACAGTCCCTATTAGGCCATGAATTTACATCTCAATGAAGCCTATTAAATAACTCATATTTATATCAAAACTTAAAAATGCAGACTGATTTAAGTGATATTCATTTTGTTGTGTTTAAAGTGACTGAATGCAGAGTGTATCCGTACCATCCCAGCCATTGGTGCCGGGGTGTTGTCTGTGTAAAAGTAGGTCGTCCCCCCTACAGTCTCTTTCTGGATAATGTGTGCACCCTGGTCAGACGCGGTGGTGGGCACCATGTAATTGGCAGGGTTTGGGGTGTGACTGCGTCGACGGGGAGCAGGTGAGGTGTGTGGTGTAATTTTAGGGGAGTGAAGAGGAGAAGATCCCGCAGACAACGACATTCCTGAAAAAGGAGACAGAACATGAGAAACGTTTCTTAGGAAAATATTTAATTTCACAGTAATATATGAGGGAAATCCCTCATGAACTCAAGTATTACAATTTCTAAAGATGAAAAACAAAATTGAGCCCAACAGAAAGTGTTTGGGTAGAGGGTAGTTCTCAAAAAACCCACACCTGGAGCCAGTGCAGCAGCTGTGGAGCTGCTGAGACCAGGATGTGCAAAGAGAGGTGAGGGGAAGGCCTGGACAGTGGACTGAGCCATATTGGCCATACGTGGAGCTCCCTTAGGGATGAATTCACTCGCTGCCGGGTTAGGAGCCTGCCAACACAAATGAAAACAATGGAAAAATTAAAAGTCGTCTATCAGTCTTGTTGGAGGCAAATTAACTCATCTTTGTCAGGCTTCAAGTACTTCCTTATATAAAAATGTAATCCTGAACCCTTAAAGAACTTTAATGCTATGACCCAATGTTTGTACGCTCACCTTTCTCCTTTGGGAAATGCTAAGAGCACCAAAATCACTGAACAGTGAGGACGTCGGGGAGTTCACTGGATCTGCAAAGCACAAAGTGTTGAAGGCCCCTTCCAAACTTCAGTGGATGAGTGTCAGCTAGTGCCCCAAAGATATCTCAATACAGCTTACCATGAGTGCTGTGGCTGAAGTTCTTGGCACCATCATTGAGAAGACTGGGAGAGCTGCTGCTGGTAGTCATTCGCTAAGGAGAGCAGCATCCAGAGGAGATGTGTTACAAAAAGCACCCTGCCGTCCAATTATGTTCATCAAAATACAACGAAGTACCATAAAATAATTTAACTGCAGGGCCTTAGTCTCCAATTATGCTTTCAAAGACCTAAAACTTTTTTTTGTGGTGGTAGGTTGGAGCTGCTGGTAGCCAGTTGCTGTATTAAACCTATAAATGTTTTAGTTCCAAAGTAGTTGGTGTCAAATTAATAACTAATCTACAAATTCAGCTGCCTCTTTCATGAGGCCAGGGTTTTGGATATAGTCCAACTTCACTGCTTTGGGCTGGTCACGTCACTCTTTGTTTTGCTCTGTAGCATTCTGTCAGCTTGAAATAGGAGCACATGAACCAGCTCTTCACCTGGCTCCAGGTTCTGGTTTGAGTGGCCCTCAAGCTCACAACAGATCTCCCAGAGAGCTGAACAAGGACTACCATCACTAGCCACAGTCCAAGACAAAGGATTCAGAGCTGGTCTAAAAGCAAGATGAGAGACTCACTGGAGAGGCAGCTCAATGACATTAAACACTGGCCAAAAAGCAACGCAGTCTACCTGCAGAGTCGAGTTTAGATCGTTAGCAGCATCTGAACTTTCAAAAGCATGTCTGAGGGCATTGTCTACTAGTAAAGTTATTGCATACGGCACAAAAAAAAGAAAGAAAGAAAAGAAATAAGGTTCAACCCTAACATAACCATGTTGCCAGTCACGTACATGTGAAAACCACTGACTGGGGATGTAGCGATATACCCGCCAGTAAATGCCTCGATGACTCCCAACAGCAAAAGACGAAACTTAATGATGGCAGTGGCTGACGTTAACCTATTGTGTCACATCGATTTCACAGTAGCTAAATGTTCAAAGTTGGAGTGATGAAGAACTTGAAGACTTTGGTTTATTGTGAAGCTGTTTTTATGTTTCCCTGTAAAAAAAGAAAGGGCAATAACAACAAACTCAATACAGAAATGTAACTGGTATACCATCAACTCAGAATTTCATAGGCATTGCATTCCTAACATAGCAAAACAAAACACGCATATATTCATTTTCAGTTCGTTTAACTGTACATTTACTGTGACAGACCTACAGCGTCCCTCTTGTACCTGCATCATTGAGTATTTAGGCTCTGCTGGACTTCCAAATCCATTGACCCCAATAAAGCTGCTGCTGAAGTAAGAGTTGGTAAGATTGGCATCGCTCAGGGTTGCGCCTTCCATCCCTGGGACTGTAGATGACAATAAAAGCAGAGTTTTGCAGATTAGGACTGCAACCAGACCATATCAGTTAGAGATAATTGCTTACACAGTCCAAAATGTAATGCACTCATGCTAATGTGTGCACAAGTGAGCGCGTCTTCAGCCAATCACAGTTTGAAAGCATGTAAACAGTGAGCCGCAGCTGAAGCTTGACCCAAGGTGATAGCTACCACCAGCAAACTTTTTTAGTAATACTTCCATGGCAGCTTTTAATGCACGACTGCAAAGTGCATGCTACTTAAACACAAAAACACAACACACAACACACAAAAACAATGCCTACTAAACCGTTAGCGTAGGTAGGCTAGTGTTAGAAAAGACTCAACTTGGAGAACAACACTAAACTTCACTTTAAGTTAAGTGAAGAAGAAAATGCAAAGTGCTGATAAAAACACTCATTTCTCCTTTTTTGGAGGAGAAACCCAAACAGGTAGAATAAGTTAAAGTGGTCAGTTTAAACATAGTTTAGCTAACGCTAGCTGGCTATTAGCTGCAGGAGCTAACGTTAGTGGGACGCGGATTTCTGCCCACTCACAGCTGTCACACAACACAACAGGCCTCCTCGGCTACAGCAGCATGGCTCATGTTTTGTGTTTTTGATACTGGTAACACAACGTGTAGTCAAAACTTGTGAGACGACAGTTAAAGAGCGCGATATATGCTAGTTGCACGCTGGGCTGTTTTGCTAATGTCTGGCAAGTAAAAGTAAACCACGTTGTTTTGGCGCTGAGAGGCCTCAGTGAATCCTCGGGCTAAATTTTAACAAAGCTCCGTGAGGCCCGAAAGTAAAGTCACAGTCAGTCACCCTGCACGAGGCCTTGGTTTACAGTCATTTGTACTCACTGGTTAACAGCTGCCCCTCCAGAGACGTACTCGCAGGCCCCAATGTTTCACTCTTCTTGGGCACGCCGGTGCCCCCACCGCCCGGGCAGCCCGCCGCGGAGCCGCCAAGGGAATACCCCGCTGGCGTCCCACCACCCCCGGCCATGGACAACGGGACAGGGCTGCCGCCGCCGCCGCCGTGCAGCGGCAAACTCGCCAAGGACGGATCCTCATGCAAGAACTGACACTCATCTCCATAAAAGCAGGTTTTGTCTTTTGCGTAGTATCGACAAAACTTCACCTTGACATTGGGTATCCCGGCACCCCCGAGCGGAGCAGCTGAAGGTGGGAGTCCACTGTTCATGGCACTGCTGCTGCCGCCACTGCTGCCGGAAGACGCTCAAACATAGAGAGATGCAGGAAGCTAGCGTGCTAGCCCGCTAGCTTTCAACCAGTTTTCACTTAAAGGAGCGGGTTAATGTCACTTCGGGTGGTGGAAAACACTTAAGATCCCAGAGTACTCACATTCTAAGGCTAAGGAGCATTTTGGTTTGAGGAAATATCACTGCATGTGAAATCCTGGTCGTCGTTGTTGCTTTGGTTGTTTACGCTATCCATGCAGCTGCCTTCGCAAAGTAGCCTGTTGTTGTTGTTTTTTCCGCTCGCAGCCTCTGTGCTGTGCTACAGAGCCGCTAGCATAGCTGTGCATTGTGGGTAAAACAAATTGTATGGATGCAAACTAAATTTGCGGTATCTGCGATGTTGACAAAGATATAGGGGGAAATTATCTTTCTTTTTTTAGCGCGGTTATCATTCAGAATTAAGCAAATGATTGCAACATCGTAAAACATTTTAAAATAAATTTTAAAAAAAGAGAAAGAAAAAAGAAATTACTTCTTATTTTTGGTCTTACTAGATGATGGAACAAATATTTCCCAGCATGCATACAATATCTCTCTTCTCGGGGCGACCGTGGCTCAGGGGGTTGGGAAGCGTATCTGGTTCGATCGCCGGGCTCTCTGTCCTGGTCGTTGTGTCCTTGGGCAAGACACTTTACCCTACTTGCCTACTGGTGTTGGCCAGAGGGGCCGATGGCGCGATATGGCAGCCTCGCTTCTGTCAGTCTGCCCCAGGGCAGCTGTGGCTACAACCGTAGCTTGCCTCCACCAGTGTGTGAATGTGAGAGTGAATGAATAGTGGCATTGTAAAGCGCTTTGGGTGCCTTGAAAAGCGCTATATAAATCCAATCCATTATTATTATGTCTCTGTCATGTTGATAACGTAGAAACCAGCCTCTTCAGTTTTTTCTTAATAAAAACACGCAGAAAAAATGATTGTACTTCCATTTTTTAAATCTCCAACAATAACGAGAAAACAGTAGTTTCTCGCGTGTATATTTTAGGCTCTCAGCGTCATCCAATGGTCTTATACTTCCTCTATTTATAAGGCACATACGGGCGTCTTGTACGCCAGTCTAGCCACAGAGTGAGCATGTAGAGCAGCCAGAAAATACGCATCAATGCCAAGGCACCAAAATATGATTGCGGGTGAGTAAGACTCTTTCAAATCCCTGTTTTGTGGCCTGAATTATTGCCACTGAAGTAGTGCAACTTTTAGCTTCACGTTTATCATTTAACAGTTAGGGTTCAAAAATTAAAAATGGCGTGTTTATAAATAAATATTCAGATATAAAATATTGGGTTGACATCAAGATCTAAATTTTCAGTTTGAGGAACTTCAAGGCTCAGCAGCGACTGACAAGTGTTAAGGCTGACATTTGTAGTTCATATAAGGTGACGGTGATGATGATCTCAGGAAGAAAATAAATATCAGAAATAATAGGTAAAAACACGCAAATTACACTTTGTGTGGTTTTTATAATTTAGAAGTGTTTAACCTTTCTAGTTTAATATAAATAAAAAAAACTCTACTGTGCCATTAATAAATTCACAGGAAACACTTAACACATCAGTTTATTTGTCCTCATGACTGTGTTGCTTTGTGCTTTTTTCAGATTTGCTTATTTACTTATGCTGTATTTTCTTTAAAATTAAATAATCAATTCCTGTTTCACTTGTTATTTTCCAGTAAATTTCTAATAATTCGGGAAATGTGCATTTGTTTGAACTGAAGTTTTCATTTTCTGTATCTCCAGCTGTTCTGCTGCTGTGTGCTGTTGGGGCACTGTCTGATGATGGGAAGACCCCACCATGTGTGCCCAGTTATGAAGTAAGAGCTGCTTTAACTGGAAAATAATGGGGGAAAACAGCACAATTTAGTAGGTGCTGCACAATTGCTGAACTGACACATAGTAACTGTAAATAATATATGCACAAACCATTAGAACTCCAATATGAAGTAATTGAACTAATGCACCCTTTTTTGTATAAACAAAAGAAAATATTCTTCAAACTTTGTGTAGCTGTATCTTATTTTCACTAATGACAGTGTCAGTGTTTTATGAGTATGCAAAAACACAAAAATGCAGAGCAACAAGATGATCTAAAACGTCACAGGGGGAAATGGTACTCCTGTTTCATTTCTTGAAATCTGTCACTTTGTCTCATTTCAGTAAAAACTCTTGAGTCCAAATTTTATTCCACTATAAAAGTAAATGTACATTTTTTAACCAGTTCATAGTTTAATATTTTCACACATGTAGTTGTGTGAAAAATAAAGTATACCTGCTTTCGTTTCCAAGGTTTTACATGACAGGACAAATTAAAATAATCATTTGACCCTTAGCAGTGACATTATTTGTTTAACAAATACTGAGTCAAATTCAGAAGCTGTGTTTAAAAATATAATTAGACCCCCAAGATTTACCAGCAATAGCTTTAATAATAGTTTTCTGTGTGAGGTCATCAGTCATTTTTATAGCCCAAATTATCACCCCTACACCACCATGCTTCACAGTTGATATGAGGTGTTGGTGCTGATATGGTGTGTTTAGTTTTTCATCATATGTGGTGCTGTGCATGACGGCCAAACGTCTCCACTTTGGTCTCAACTGCCCAGTGGACATTGTTCCAGAAGTCTTGGTTCAGATGTTCAGATTTGTTCAACTTTGCAAAGCTAAGCTGTGCTGCCATGTTCTTTTTAGAGAGACGAGGGTGTCTTCAGTCTTTTTCTAATTGTACCGTCGTGAACTTTAATAATTAAAATGTTAACTGAAGCCAATAGAGACTGACATGTAGCTCACAAGCTTCTTGCTGATTCTGAGGTTTGAACTGTCTGAATTTGGGGTGAATTTGCTGGGACGTCACTCCTGGCAAGATTGGCAACTGTGTTGACTGTTTTCCACTTGTAAATAGTCTTTCCCTCTGTAGAGTGATGGATTTCAAATGGCCGAGTAACCCTTCCCAGATTGATTGGGAGCAACAATTCCTTCTCTGAGATGATTGTTGATGTTGTTACACTTTCACGCCCCAATTCTCCAGACCAGAAAACCACTGAAACATTTGTTTTATTACAGGTGCTCATGATTACTAAAGATCAGCACTTGGCTGCTACTTACCCTCTTAAATCCTGTGGAAGTAATAAATAGTTACTTTGGTTTTTATACAATTCTTCTCCATTTTTGCTTTATTTTTCTTAAATAACTATATAGTCTAATAATTTATGTGTTTTTATTTTGTCTTAATATGTAAACATAAATAATGTTCATGCTTGGTTTGGTGATTAACAATCTCTCAGCTTTTATTACAACTTCAGACAATTAATTGCTAAATCAACCTTTTTATGTGTTTTTGTAAAGCATTTTTTTAACATCTTGCCATCAGTGATTATTTTATTGCTGCTTAATAAAGGAGGATTAAATGGTGGGTCTTGTTTTTCAGGCAGCATGTTTGACACCAGCTGATTATCAGAATCCATCTGGTCCCATCACCAAAGTTTTGGCTGTGGGTATGAAACTCATCATCTCCCTGGACGGCCTCTCTGGATCTCTTGTCTGCCACTGGATCAGAGGAGAAGACCGAGTAATGACAGCGTAAGTGACTGTCTGTGTTTCTGTTTGTGTGCTTTATCTTTTTATGTAATTAAACTGAGATGTTTCTTTTAACCTCAGCAGAAATGGGAGTCAGTCCATGGTCACATCACCGCTTTCTGAGACAGATTCAGGGGAGTACACTCTGACCTGTAAATCCAACAATGTCACCATGTTCTCCACGACTGTGATTCTTCATGTAATGAGTGAGTAACAGCTTCTCACCTTATTTCTTCTACAATACTCAAACAAACTCTGTTTGATCATAAATTAGTCATAATAAAAAATGAAGTTAACTGTTTTCTTTGTTGTTTAGAATGTCCAACAAAACCACAGCTGATGCTCGATGGTGTTGACGTGTCAGATACTTCCCCGCTTTTTAAGTGCATCTCTGAGGGTTTCCCCAAACCCACAATCAAATGGTCTGGGTAAGATGTTGTCCTTTACATTTGTATGTAAACTTTAGAATAGCAGCACTTCTTAATGTCTCATTTTAGACTGAATCATTTGGAGAGATGCTTTATTTTGGTGGGTGGTTGGGATAAATGGGTATTAGAAAAGCTTTCATAATAATGTTTGTCAAAGACACAGCGCTCTGAAAATATAATTTTACAGCACTAACATTTTTCTCTCTGTTTGAACAGTAACAAGGATGGACAACAGAGTTTAAAGGGAAGCGACAGAAAGACAGAGCTCACAATATCAAGCACTGAATATTATAATACAGGAATGATGTGCTGTGCAACCAATGCTGAAGGACAAGAGTGCTCCCAACTGTATGACTACGGTAACTGGATTTAAATTAATTCATAACAAATTTAATACATCCATAATGAATTTATCCATAAATTATTACAGGAGTTAATTTCAGTAAAATTTGGTTCAAATACTTGAAAAAACAATGTTTACTCAGACATTAACTAACTGATCTCAGAGAAGCAAATGACAAATTCTGCCTGAAAAATATATTTTTGACTTGAGGCCCTGATGTGTGTTTCAGACTTACAGAGCAGCGTAATGAACAAAGATGAGGTATCTAATGTCACCCTGAGCGAAGGTCAGTCTCTGCTGCTTCGCTGCAGAGTAAAGGGATACAGTCTGAGATCACCTGTGTGGGAGAAAGGAGGAAAACACCTCAATGCCAGGACACTGTCACGTAAACCAGAGAAGGAGGAGGAGGTACAGTAATGTCCTGTAATCAGGGAGAGTTTCCTTAAACTTTCTTGTTATGTTTGTCTGAAAACTGACCGACCTTTTTAATATTCCTCAGTCTGAGACACAAAGTACTTCACTGATAATCATCCTGCAAATGATCATTATTATGGGGTTTTTCTTCCAGATGTGCATTAAAAATGACTCACATTTCGGTGTTCAGATGGCCTACCTGTCCATCAGATCAGTGAGAGAGGAGCACAGCGGCACATACACCTGCACGAGTGCATATAATAAAAACTCAAAGTCTGTTCATGTTCATGTCTCAGGTCAGTAGACTTCATTTCATGTCATTATTATTTGAAACTGTTCCCACTGAATAAATCTGGTTTATTCTTGTGTTTCCTCAGATGAAGGTTTCCTCTCTGCACAGCTGGATGAGACCAAGATCATATCAGCTCAGGAGGCATCCAGCACCTGCTTGCAGGCCACTGTTTCCTACCATCCTGTTTTCCAGCACTGTTCCTGGGAGACTCCTGACAAAAACAGGACTAAATGTGTCAGGGAGACATGGGTAACACAGCACAGGTACTTCAATGAAGCAAACTGTCATCATGTAGAAGTGTAAAATTATCCATTCATTCACGTTTTTCATGATCAGTGTAATCATGTGATATGAGGACTGTAATGAACTGTTTCTCAGGACTGTGAAGCTTTGTGATCCACTCATATCAGGAGATTATAAGTTACACCTGGAGGCTGGAGGACAAAAGGAAACAAAGACCATATCAGTGTGTGTTGTAGGTGGGTTAATGTA